TGAGCGCAGTGCGGGCGACACCAAGCCAAGGGTTGCAATCCCCTTACCGGTCACAAAAAAGGACAAAAAAATATATATATCACATTGTTGGCACAACCAGTGTAAGCACCAACAGACAGACGTTCTTATAAGGGAACAGTGGAAACCATCCTGAAATTCAAGTTCCCAGATTCGAGCCAAGGACAAAACCCGGAAAGCAGGACTTCCTAAGGAGAGCAGTTACAGGATTGCTGCGATAACACTTCACAAGGAGCCCAAGGTGGGAAACGGGGAAAGCGAGTTTGGGTGATGAAAAATAACTCCATCGGATAACCAGAAAATAAAGCACTTCGTGTTTTTAGCACCTACTGGGCGCCAGGCACTACACGGAGCGGTTTATTTCCCTTGCCTCAAGGAAGCCTTGCAAAGACTCTAGGAGACAAAGAGCAATGTACCCATTTCACAGAGGAGGAAACTGAGTTCCGCAGGTTTCAGCTACTCAGGACTCAGATCCAGGGANTAATGGAGTCCTGGAAATCCCTCAACAGAGTTGGGAGGAGCTGCACAGAGAATGGGGTCTCACATCTGCAGCCAGAAGCACTTGACAAAACCTAACCCCTCCGAGGAACACGATTGGCTAGAGACCCCAGGCGGGGCGGGGCTTAAGAGTCACGCCCGTATAGGCGATAGTGGAACAGGACCGTCAAATCATAATAAAGCCCTACCCCCAAGGAAGGTGATTGGATAAACCCCTTGGGAAAACCCGGTCAGGGAACGTGATTGGGTAAACTTCCCGAACACCTCCCCCTCAGCTGATTGGGTATGGCTTAGCGAAGGCCCACCCCCCACCCCCCGGAAAGGGATTGGGAGGAGTTTGGAAAATCGTTCCGCGAAAGGCCGTTGAGGAAGAAAAGGGCTCCGAGACGTGGTCACAGGAAGCCTCCCCTTCTTCCGGAGTTCTGGGATGTCTCGCTCCGGCTAGAAAGTTCGAGTCGCTCAACACTTACATTTAAAACTTTTCGCTCCGACATCTTTGCCTCCTCCTCGTCCTACAAACACCAGAGAACCGGTTAGGCTCGGTGCGTANCGACATCTTTGCCTCCTCCTCGTCCTACAAACACCAGAGAACCGGTTAGGCTCGGTGCGTATCGAGCTTCTTCAATAGTATCTTATACTTCCGGTAACGTCACATCCGTTAGCCCCTATTATTGGCTCAGCATACGCAGTTTGCCTTTGTCATTGGCTAGTCCTGCAGTCCCTCCCCCTCGGAGTTGCATCCTCAGTAGCGCGACGTAAAGGTTCCGGGAGCCCGGCTCGATCTGGAGTTCCGCAGAGGCTCTAACCCCTTCAGAACTCGGCTGGGGCACGTTACAATTTTGTGGTGACAAGCCATGGCTGCTTGTCGCGACACTCCCTGTTGTTCATTGTTTTATGCACCAAATATGCATGAAGAGCCTACCCTGTGTGCTGGGCTCTGGGAACCCACACATCGTTCCTGTGCCTTCAGCGCTCAGGTGGGGATTGGGGCCTCCACACGTGGCGACATAAGAGCCCTCGGGACCACCCACCCCGTGCTTATCTTGAGTCACAGCCACAGACTTAAAGATCAGGCTGCAAACCCACCTTTCAAACACACACAGGACCTCCCAGATGTCCCCTCCATTACGCGCCTGTGTCTATCTTTATTTTATTTTATTTATTATTATTATTATTTTCTATTGAATCATAATTGATTATACATATGCCTGTGTCTGTCTTTAAAAAGGACATCTGAAAAAGAAAAAATAAAATAAAAAGGACATCTGCCTTTGGTTGAATGTCCCTCAAAACTTCATCCCCACTGTAACTGTTGAGGGTAATTGAAATGTAGAGCCTTGAAGAGGTGAATAGATTGTGAGGACCATGCCCTAATGAATGGATTAATAATGGTGGTCATGGGTGTGGTTCTGAGGGCTTTAAAAGGAGAGTACGTGAGTGTCTCTGTCTGCTTCAGCCATCTCCCCATGTGATACCATGAGTCACCACCAAAGATGACGCTCACCAGATGTGGTTCCTGGACTTTGGACTTCCCAGCCTCTGAAACTGTAAGCAATAAATTTTGTTTTCTTACAAATTACCCAGTTTCAGATATTTATGTTATAAGCAACAGAAACGGACTAATACATTCATTTTAGCAGTATTTAATGAAAGTTGTATATAAGATTGCTTTATTTCTGCATCTTCCTGGTGTTTTCTTTTTTAATTTGCCCTTTTCCTTTCCTGCTTAGCAAGTTTTTGGTTTTCTGTTCAAAGATCTTTTTGTGGTCTTTGTCCAGTTTCAGCCTACTTTTTAAATTAAACAATACAGTCCACTAAGCCCTGCACTGCGGTTAAAGGAGACAGTACATCACCATTTCACAGAGTGGGAAACTGAGGCTCACAGAGGCAAAATCAGTCATTCAAGGTTGCTCAGCATCTTGGCAGCAGCAAAGCCAGGACTCAAACCAAGGCAAGGCGGATAGCATATGCCCTAAAGTGGGTGGTATGGGGTGGGTGGGTGTCAAGGACCCGGCTCTTCTACTGGGGCATGGGGAAGCCCCCACTACTTGCCCAGGGTCAGGGGGGTAGTGGCAGGAAGACTCCAGTCACTTGATTCGCCATAGTCCATGAGGTCCTGAGCAGCCACCTGGATGCAGTACCTTGCATGAGGCCGCACAGCCCTGAGGGTGAAGTACGTAGCTTCAATGGGCCCCACCTAAGAGCAGAGAGAGGGTCAGGTCCTTAGAATGATGAGCCTGGGAGACACCACTGTGCACAGAACCACAAACCTGAACTGTTAGTCCTCCCTGCTCCAGCCTCTGCTCCCAGACTCTGGTCCCAGCTGCGCATCCTACACAGTATGCCCTGTACACATCCCTTCACAGCGTTGTCCTTTCCCGATCCTAAACTATCTGTATTTCAGTACTTGGCCCCTGCTATGGTTTGAATGGGCCCCCCAAATTTTATGTGTTGGAAACTTAATCCCCAATGCAACAGTGGGGGGGGGGGGGACCTTTAAGAGGTGATTAGGTCATGAGGGCTCTGCCTTCATGAATGGATTCACGTTGTTATCTCGGGAGTGGGCTCCTGATAAAAGGATGAGTTCAGCCCCCTTCCCTATCTTGCATGAGCTGTCTCGCCCGCCCTTCCACCTCCCGCCATGGGATAACTCAGCAAGGAGACCCTCACCAGATGCGACACTTTGATCTTGAACTTTCCAGCCTCCAGAACTGTTAGCCAAATAAACTACTGTTCGTTATAAATTACTCAATTAAACAATACAGTCCACTAAGCCCTGCACTGCGGTTAAAGGAGACAGTACATCACCATTTCACAGAGTGGGAAACTGAGGCTCACAGAGGCAAAATCAGTCATTCAAGGTTGCTCAGCATCTTGGCAGCAGCAAAGCCAGGACTCAAACCAAGGCAAGGCGGATAGCATATGCCCTAAAGTGGGTGGTATGGGGTGGGTGGGTGTCAAGGACCCGGCTCTTCTACTGGGGCATGGGGAAGCCCCCACTACTTGCCCAGGGTCAGGGGGGTAGTGGCAGGAAGACTCCAGTCACTTGATTCGCCATAGTCCATGAGGTCCTGAGCAGCCACCTGGATGCAGTACCTTGCATGAGGCCGCACAGCCCTGAGGGTGAAGTACGTAGCTTCAATGGGCCCCACCTAAGAGCAGAGAGAGGGTCAGGTCCTTAGAATGATGAGCCTGGGAGACACCACTGTGCACAGAACCACAAACCTGAACTGTTAGTCCTCCCTGCTCCAGCCTCTGCTCCCAGACTCTGGTCCCAGCTGCGCATCCTACACAGTATGCCCTGTACACATCCCTTCACAGCGTTGTCCTTTCCCGATCCTAAACTATCTGTATTTCAGTACTTGGCCCCTGCTATGGTTTGAATGGGCCCCCCAAATTTTATGTGTTGGAAACTTAATCCCCAATGCAACAGTGTCGGGGGGGGGGACCTTTAAGAGGTGATTAGGTCATGAGGGCTCTGCCTTCATGAATGGATTCACGTTGGTTGTTATCTCGGGAGTGGGCTCCTGATAAAAGGATGAGTTCAGCCCCCTTCCCTATCTTGCATGAGCTGTCTCGCCCGCCCTTCCACCTCCCGCCATGGGATAACTCAGCAAGGAGACCCTCACCAGATGGCGACACTTTGATCTTGAACTTTCCAGCCTCCGGAACTGTTATCCAAATAAACTACTGTTCGTTATAAATTACCCAGTGTTATAGCAGCACAAGATGGACTAAGATGATCCCAAAGCCACCTCTTTCAGGAATCCTTCCTGGACACATCAACCTCTAGGGGGATCTTACCTGTCAAAGTCCTCCCTCACCAGGACCCCCACGCATCCCCCCAAATCCTCCTCCTCCTCCCAGGGCCCAAATGAGGGCCTCTAGGATGGTCTCAATGCTTCCATTCCCCTGGCCCCACGGGTTTTATTTCTATTTTTTTGGTGGCTGGCTGGTATGGGGATCGAACCCTGGACCTTGGTATTATCAGCAAGCCCCATTGTTTTAATCATGATTTTTCTTTTCTGTACCTTATGATGTTTTGACATCTTAAAAATCTTGCTTGCCAGGGAGAGGCTGCCCCTCCCAGGGCTGGCCAATTCTTGGAGATACTAAAGGGTTTGGCCAGGAGCTCACTGTTCGTATGCAAACCAACCAATCCTGAGTCTACACCCCTAACCACTGTCTTTTTCCTGCTGTCACGCAGCAAGGCAATAATTCCCCTGCCCTAAATCATCCCAGGGCCAGGCAACCAGAGACCACCCCTATAGCCTAAAACCCCCCAGAATTATTCAAACTGGCCAATCCTACCCTGTTTGCCCTGTCTCAATGCTCTTTCCCATGGAAGCCCCAGTAAAGGCTGCTTCTGCCTCCTGCCGTAACCTGGTGCTTCCCTGTGTGGCCCTGCCTGGTGCATTCTCAGAAAGCATCAGCCATAAATTCTTCTCTCCATGGCACTGGCCACTCAGTGTTGTGCCCCAGTCACCTTCATAAATTAAAATCCTATGGGGACAAATGAGACACTCTCTCATCTGCATCTTTTCTGTTCTCTCTCCTGCCCGTCCCTTCCTCTCTGTGCCTGATGCTCCAAACCCTCTCTCCTACAATGTCCCTTTGCAGCCACCACAGCCAACTTTAAGACCATCCGTTTCCCTCCCTCGCTCCACCTGAGTTGTCCCATACACATGCTAGACGTGCTCTTTTGGTTTTAAATGGTGATTAATGAATGGTTGAACAACTTGGTGAATATACTCAAAAAACCAGACTGGTATGCTCTAAAAGGATGAGTTTTGTGGCCTGAGAATTCTATCTCATTTCTGTTTGTTTTGTTTTGGGAGGCTGGTTGGTACAGGGATCTGAACCCGTGACCTTGGTGTTATCAGCACCACGCTGTGACCAAGTGAGCTAACCTGCCAGCCCTTATTTACAAAAATTTTAAAACAATAGATTTGTTTTTCACCTAGGTGAAATTCATATAATATCAACCATTTTAAAGAGAAACAATTCAGTGGCATTTAGTGCATTCACAATGTTGTGCGACCTTCACCTATATCCAATTTCAGAACATTCTCATCACCCCCAAAAGAAACCCTGTCCCCATCAGCAGTCACTCCCCATCCCCTCCCCCAGCCCCCAGCACCACGAATCCACTTCCTGTCTCTGTGGATCGGCCTGTTCTGGACATTTCATGTTAATGGAATCACACACTATGTGACCTTGTGTGTCTGGCATCTGTCACTGAGCGTGACGTGTTCAAGGTCCATCCACGTGGTAGCATGTGTCAGAGCTTCATTCATTTTCATGGCTGCATAATACTTCAGTACATGGATGGACCACATTCTGTTTGTCCATTCTCCAGTTGATGGACACGGGTTGTCTGCACCTTTTGGCTATTCTGAATAATGCTGCTAAAAACATGGATGTACAAATACTTGTTTGAGTTTCTGTTTTCAGTTCTTTTGGGTGGATACCCAGGAGTGAAATGCTGGGCTGCTTTTATTTTACACACTAGTCACCCCAAGCTATGTGCAAGACCCCAGCGCACCTGCTGGCTTTTGCACAAGCCATTTCCACTCCCAGGTACCACCCTTCCTAGATCCCCTTGTCCTCCTCACCTGGCGGAAGCGGGCAGCTCCGTGACGCTTGTAGCGGATCCTGTACTTGAGGGAGAAGATCTCCGGGAAGGGCCAGGACCGGGGGGGCTCCCACTGCACCTGCAGCCGCTGCCCAGGGAGGGGGCTCAGGTGCACACCTTCTGGAGGGTCAGGTTTAACTGATGGATATGCAGGAAGCAAGATCAGGGGACAGCAGCTTCACTCACTCATTCATTTATCAATTCATTTATTAATTCAAAGGTCAAATATTTACTGAGAGTCTACAGATTGCCAGGCACTGTCCCATGCACAGCAGACACAGTAGGGACCTAGACTGACCCACCCTGTCCTCTTGGAGCTCACGATCCATCAGGAGAAGACAAGAAACAAGAAACAAATCAATAGGTCACACAGAGTAGGAAAGAAAGCTTAGGAGTACAAGGACAAGAGTGAATTGCAATGTTTTTTGGAGAGATGATTCACAAAGTGTAAAACTCACCATTTTAAAGTGCACAATTCACTGGCACTTAGTACATTCACAGAGTTGTGCAGCTATCACCACTATTTCCAGAACATTCCATCACCCCCCCAAAAAACCCCATCCCCATCAGCAGTCACTCCCCACCCCCTCTCGCAGCCCTTGGCAACCACGAATCCACTTTCTGTCTCTGTGGATTGGCCTGTTCTGGGCATTTTGTATAAATGGAATCACACACTGTGTGGCCTTTTGTGTCTGGCATTTGTCACTGACCGTAAGGTGTTCAAGGTCCATCCACGTGGTAGCATGTGTCAGAGCCTCGTTCCTTTTCACGGCTGAGTGATGTTCCAGTGTGTGGATGGACCACATTGTGTTTATCCATTGATCTGTTGATGGACACTTGGGTTGTCTCTACCTTTTGGCCACCATGAATATTGAGCCATGAATATTCGTGTACAAGTTTTTGTGTGAATGTATGTTTTCATTTCCCTTGAGTAGATTCCTAGGAATGGTATTACTGGGTTATAAGGTAATTCCATGTTTAACCCTTTGAGGGATTGCTAGACTGTTTGCACTAACCACCAGCAATATATGAAGGTTTGCAATTTTTAACACTATGCACGGGGGAGGCCTACTGAGGAAGTAACATTGGAGTAGTGACCTGAAGGAGGTAAAGGAAGAAATCATGGGGACATCTGGGAGAAGGTGTTCCAGGTGGAGGGAACAGCATGTGCAAAGGCCCTAGGGCAGGACTGTGCCTGGACAGTTGGAGGAACAGCGAGGAGGCCTGTGTAGCTGGAGCAGAGTGAGCGAGAGGGAGAGTGGGAGGGGGGGCAGGGCAGGAAGGGGACGGGGCAGGTTGTGCAGGGGCCTGGTGGGTCACGCTGAGGACTTGGGCTTTTCCCCCAAAGGGAGGTGGGAGCCATGGAAGGCTGTGGGCAGAGGAGGGACATGTCCTGACTCAGGTGCTCACTGGTGCCCTCGGATGGCTGTTGCAGGGAGGACAGACTGTGGGGACCAGGGCAGAGGGGACTGCACTGGTCCAGGTGGGTAATGATGGGGCTAGACCAGATGGAGACAGAAGAGGGGAGAGAAAGGTCAGATTTTTGATTAACTGTGAAGATGGAGTCACAGGACTGCATGACAGGTGAGCGAGAAGGAGGAGCAGCAGAAACAAGGGGACAGCTCCCCCCGCACTGCCCCCACTCACTGATGTGCTCTGGGACGAAGGGCATGAAGCTGCTGCTGCTGCCCCGGGAGTGGATGGCCGTGACGTTGAGCACATAGGGCACCAGGGAGAACAGCTGGATGTCCGGGATGGCACAGCTGGTGGCCTCTGGTGTCGGCTGCAGGCAGGGGTGGCTCTCGCCCTGGGCAGCCATGCCAAGCCTAGACACAGGGTGGACAGTCTGAGGACCTCAGCATTTCCTACTGGTCGGGCCTATTCCTGGACCCTAAGCCTGAGGAGGGGGCAGGCGGATGCAGTGGGCGAGGAGCCCAGGGGTGGGGGTCCTGCTGATGGCTCTGCCTCTAGCTGGCAATGTGGGCCCAGGGGTACTGTGCCACTACGTCACAGAGCCTGTGACGACCTAGGGTCAGGGGGAACAAACCACAAGGCTCCAAATTCTAAAGCCACCTTCTGGAATGTCAACATGCCAATTTTATTATTTATTTGTTTGTTTGTTTATTGATTGATTGATTGATTGATTGATTGCAGCTGGCCAGTACAGGGACCCGTGACCTTGGAGTTATAAGTCTGTGCTCTAACCAATTGAGCTAACCGGCCAGCCCACGACATGCCAATGTTAGGATGCTGACATTCTGGAGGTCTATGGATTCATAGACCCTGGAATCTAAAATGATGAGATTCTCTCAATTTATTTATTTTTTCGGCACCTGGCCAGTATGGGGATCTGAACCCTTGAGGTTGGTGTTACAAGGTTGCTCTCTAACCAAATCATCGATCTAACCAGCCAGCCCCTAATATAATATTCCTTTTTTTTTTTTTTTCCGTCTCTAACCAAATCATCGATCTAACCAGCCAGCCCCTAATATAATATTCCTTTTTTTTTTTTTTTCCGGCACCTGGCCAGTCTGGGGATCTGAACCCTTGAAGTTGGTGTTACCAGCCCCATGCTCTACTGAGTGAACTAACTGGCCAGCCCCAATTCTCTCAGTTTCTGAGACCCCAGGATGTCAGTCTTTAGGATGTCAAGACTCGAGCCCAGCACCATCCAATAGAACTTTCACAGACTTCACAGTGTTCTATGCTGCATCCTCTCAGACGGCAGCCACCGGCCACACATGGCCATTGAGCACTTGAAATGTGGCTAGTGCAACAGAGTGAGACCTTTAAATTTAATTTACTTTGACTTATTGAATCTAAATGTATAAATTTAATCTAAAGCTTTCAGGAATTCTAAAAGTTGTTTAGTTCAACTTGGTTGTGTGAATCTACCAACTCCAACTGCAAATTTTATAAAATCTACATACAGATCAAACACTGCCAAAGAAAATTTAGCATCTGAGTTTAAATGCTGATGTGTAAAATACACATGGAATTTTGAAGACAACACAAAGGAATTTAGGGCTGGCCAGTTAGCTCAGTTGGTTAGAGCGTGGTTCGGATCCATGTACTGGCCAGCTGCCAAAAACAAATAAAAAATTTCAGTCTCATTAATTTTTTAAAAATGACAACATGTGGGGCCGGCCTGTGGCTCACTCGGGAGAGTGTGGTGCTGATAACACCAAGGCCAAGGGTTCGGATCCCTATATAGGGATGGCCGGTTCGCTCACTGGCTGAGCGTGGTGCTGACAACACCAAGTCAAGGGTTAAGATCCCCTTACCAGTCATCTTTAAAAAAAAAAAAAAAAGACAACATGTGGAAACAATAATATTTTGAATATTTATATTCCATGATTCTTAAATTAATTATAAGTTATAAATATATAAATTAAATATAGAGATATAATTATTCAATTACATTAAATCATAAAATAGGCATTGGTAAGTTTTATTTATTGATTGATTTTTTTTTTTTTTTTTTGTCTTTTGTCTTTTTTCCGTGTCCGGCAACGGATCGCAACCCTCAGTGTTGCCCCCGTACCGGACCGGGGACCGGCAACGGGATTGCAAACCTCGGTGTTGGTGTTGCTCCCGCGCCTCGCTCAGCCAGTGAGCTGGAACTGGTCTGTATGTGGGATCCGAACCCTCGGACGGGAGCGCCACCACGCTTCCCAAGCGGCGCACTATCCAGTGCGCCACTGGGCCGGTCCCTTATTGATTGATTTTGGCAGCTGATCGGTATCTGAACCCATGGCCTTGGTGTTATAACACTGCTCTAACCAAGTGAGCTAACCGGCCAGCCAACCTATACTGGAAAGTTTTAAACTACCCATGTGGCTTGCCATAGGAATATATCATTTTAAGAAGTATATTTCCATTGGACAGGACTTCTCTAGAACTCCAAAGGCTTGGGGTTTGGGATGTCTGAGTCTCCAGTTTTCCTGATCTGAGGGCTATTTGGGCCAGTGTTCTGGACTCTCCAGAAAGCCCAGTGTCCCCAAGGTCCCTTCCAGGCTCTCTGACCTGTATGTGGCAATGAAGGATGTGGATTTGGTGGAGTTTGGAGCTGGCGGCAGGGACCAGGAGCAATCCACAGCGATCGGGTACCTAGAGGCTCGGCACTGCACTCTGGGCTGGGTCGGAGCTGCTGGGTCCCCCGAGGAAGAGAGAGGAGCATGAATTCTGATTCACCCCAAGACTTACACAACTCTACTGTATGCTCAGCCCCTGCCATGTGGCCAGTCAGCACCAGGCACACAGTAGGTGCCTAATCAAGGCTTGTGGAATGAATGAATACATGAGAGGCACCAACATCACTTCTCACTATTACAAATCACCGAGGCAGGAATTATTAGCTTATTTTCCAGATGGGGAAAAACTGAGGTTTAAGGAGCCTCAGAGGGGCAGTAGGGAGAGGTTTTACCGTATCCCCTTGTTGCAACAGTTTTGTTTCGCTTGGGAGTGTGTTTTCTATTCCAAAATCAATGCAAGCAGTTCACATGTATGCGTCTATGTGTGTAGATCTATAGATATCTCCAGGCTATGGCTGCCACTCCCTGGCTCTCACCTTGCAGTGGGGGGGGGGTCTCTCTGTGCCTCAGTTTCCCCATTCATATGATCAGATGGTAACTCCACCAGTGGGCATACAGTAGGCATGTGAGTTCCCACCCCACTCCACCCATGATCCAAGGCAGAAGATTAAGGCCCAATCTCCAGAAAATGTCCCTCTGTCTAGACCCCCCAAACCCTGTCCCCCAGGGATCCCAGGTACCTTTCCATCCTCCGCAGGGTGAGCACCCGGCCCAGAGGGCAAGGGCCAGGAGAAGTGTCAGGGTCATGGCTGTGGAGGCTCTGCCTTCAGGAGCTGGGATGGGGACCGTCCTTGGAGACTCAGGCACACAGGGGGAGGCAGGGGACTTGGACCCACCCACGGGGAAGCCCAGCCTCGGGTCATGGCCCCCTCTACCTCCCCTTCCTCCCCGGCTGTGACTCACTGGCCAGGTTCCTGTGGCCACTGGAGAGATGAGGAAGGGCAGCAGAGAAGCCCCCAGCTCCCTTCAGCGGCCACCCCTGGGCGCGGGGTGTGGAAGGCCCCGAGGTTGGGGGCAGGGAGAGGAGGCCACAAAAGGGAGAAGTGGAGACCGTGGCCTTTCCCAGCACGGCAGGTCCCGCAGTCAGCCCTTCCTTCCGCCACCACAGTGATAGGGGGAGCCCCGGGGATGGGGACGAGGACGTGGAGAAAGACAAGAGACAGGGACAGGGAGAGGAGAGACAGAGACAGAAGCAAGAAAGGAGGGAGACAGGGAACGAGAAACAGAGAAAGACACACGGAGAGGAGAGAGACACAGAGAGAGATGGAGATGCAGGAAGAGACAGGAGAAAAGAGACAGGGAGACAAGAGAGACAGAGAGAGACAGAGAGACAGAGAGATGGGGGATTCCCAGCCTCACTCCTGCCTCCCCTCCCTTACCAGGAAAGCGCCGAGAAGCCTCTGGGGATTTTGGGGGACTTGCCAAGGGGCAGAGAGAAGCTGGGGACAGGGGGCTCCCACCAGGGACAAGTTGCAGGGTGGGAAAGTGAGGTTAATTAAGCAGCACAGGGCTGGCCAGGTGCCTCAGTTGGTCAGAGCACAGTGTTATAAGGCCGAGAGCCACAAAAAAAACCCCACATAATTAAGAAGTGCAGGGTCAGGGCCGGCCCGTGGCTCACTCGGCAGAGTGCGGTGCTGATAACACCAAGGCCACGGGTTCGGATCCCATATAGGGATGGCTGGTTCGTTCACTGGCTGAGCGTGGTGCTGACAACACCAAGTCAAGGGTTAAGATCCCCTTACCGGTCATCTTTTAAAAAAAAAAAAAAAAAAGAAGAAGAAGTGCAGGGTCAGATCCTGTCTTTCTTTAACATTTTAATATTTTGTTTACTGCGGACTTTTCTGCACCCCTCTGCCTTTTTAAAATATTGTATTAAGGACTGGCCCGGTGGCGCACTGGAGAGTGCGCCGCTTGAGAGCACGGCAGGAGCACCACCGAGGGTTCGGATCCCATGTGGAGACCGGCTCCCACTCACTGGCTGAGCGCGGTGCGGGCGCAACACCGAGGGTTGCGATCCCGTTGCCGGTCAGTAAAAAAGACAAAAAGGAAAAAAATATATATATTGTATTAAGATAGTATTTATCCTGGGCTGGTCAGTGAGCTCACTAGGTTAGTGATAACACCAAGCACTGATAACACCAAGGTCACATGGGTTCGGATCCCCACACAGGCCAGCCACCAAAAAAAAAAAGCATTTATCCTGATGACTGAGGTTCTTGGTGCAGAAGGCAAGTGCTCCCTGCTCTGGGCCACCCCTGTCCCTCTTTGTGGTGGGAACCCAGCAACCAGGCCACACACATCTGTCCTGTGCACAGTAGGTTTTTATTCCTGGGCTGGCATCTGGTGAGGACACAGGTTCTCACAGATTCTCCGGTGGTGGGGAGGGAGCAGTCAGGACCTGGGCCCAGACTGACCAGGGCGAGCAGGGGTCAAGTGGGGCGATGGAGCCAAGTAGGGACAGTCAGAAAGGGACCCAGGCTGGTGTCCAAGTGCAGGAGCCCAGTCACCCCATGGGGCTAGGGGAAGCTGGTCCAGGAGGGGCCTGGAGGGGGCTCAGGCTCCGTGTGGGGGTGGTCCGTGTGGCTCTCCCATCCAGCCTCAGCGGCCTTGAGCCTGGAGTCTCTGCATCTGCAGGATCTGGCTGAGGATCCGCTGCACATCTTCATCCATCTGGCCCTGGGGTGCAGAGAGAGACCCTGGGTGCACCCCCCGTGGCTTCCTCTTCACCCCAAAGACCGAGCAAGCCAATGAGGGAGATGCACACAGACAGGCTCCAACATGCCAGGAACCTCTCCCAAGGACAAGCCTCCCACTGTACAGAAGGGGAAACTGAGGCCTGGAGAGTGGCAATGGCATGCCCAAAGCCAGGCAGGCACCCAGAGCTGGAGCAGGGAACCAGGGTGATTCACCTGAATGGCGTACAGCAGGTGGCTCCTGTACAAAGCCACCACAGCACAGTGGTCCCTGGCAGCCTCCTGTGGGTATGGGGGAGGGGTGCTCAGAAAAGCAGGACCTCTGCCCCCAGAGCAAGGCACACCAAAATACCCCCTCATCACCCCGAGCTGGTATTTTGATGGCATGCACCAGGGTGATGGCCAATGGCCAAAATGTGGAAACGCTTTCTGCCTAAGCTTGGCACACGGGACCCATCATCTCTGCCTTGTGCTGCACGGGTGGTGAAATATTTGGACACCCCTCCCCCCATCACACCCAGCTTCCTGCCCAGTGCAGCCCTCACCTCCAGCAGCTGCTGCAAGGCTTTCACCTGGCCACGGAGGGACTCCACCTCGGGGGTGGCTGGGCTGGCTGGCTGCTCCTTCAGGGCTTCCTTAAGACTGAAGACTTCTTTGGAAAGTTCTGTGATCTGGAGGTAGGGGTGCTGTCAATGGTCACCCTGAGCCCAGGGCTGGGGGCTGGGGACCTTTCTAGGGCAGCAGGAAGAAGCAATGGATAAGGTCTTGCAAGGGAAAGTCATTTCCCAGGGGTTAACAAACTCTGGCCCTCAGGCCAAGTCCGGCCCACATCCTGTTTTGGGACTGCCCACAAGCTAAGAATGGTTTTCACTTTTTTTTTTTTTAAAAAAGATGACCGGTAAGGGGATCTTAACCCTTGACTTGGTGTTGTCAGCACCACGCTCAGCCAGTGAGCGAACCGGCCATCCCTATATGGGATCTGAACCCGCACTCTCCCGAGTGAGCCACGGGCCAGCCCAGGTTTTCACATTTTTAAAGGGATGGAGGAAAACGTCAAAAGGAGAATAGTATTTTCTGACATGTAAAAATTATATTGAATGTACATTTCAGTGTTCATAAATAAAGTTTTATTGGCACATAGCCCATTCATTTATGTGTTGTCTTACACCTGTTTTCAGGCTACAAGGGCAGAATGGAATATTTACGACAAAGACCATCGGCCCTGCAGAGCAAAAAATATTAACTCTCTGGCCTATTACAGAGAAAGATCCTAACATCCCCTCTTGGGGTTTCCATTGACCCATCTGGAAAACAGAGGCTGATAGAACAGGGGGACCCAAGGCAGTCTGACCTGGTTGGGCTGGGATTGGACAGCCCTGGGTTGGGTCCCTGCTCTACCCCTTTCTTGTGGGAGACCTTGGAAAGATGATTTAACCCCTCCAAGCCTCAGTTTGCTCATCTGTAAAATGGAGAGAATCATACTTCTTACCTTAGTAGGTTGCTGTGCTCCTACACTGAGATTAAGTTTAAGCTGTGCCTGGTAAACAGTAGGCCCTCAAGAAATGCTGGACCTGGGCCGGCCTGTGGCTCACTCGGTAGAGTGCGGTGCTGATAACACCAAGGCCACGGGTTCGGATCCTATATAGGGATGGCCGGTTTGCTCACTGGCTGAGCGTGGTGCTGACAACACCAAGCCAAGGGTTGAGATCCCCTTACCGGTCATCTTTAAAAAAAAAAAAAAAAAAGAAATGCTGGACCTTATTATTACTATAGATCAGAGGTTGTCAATCAGGGGCCATTCTAACCCCCACCAAGAGACACTGGAAAATATCTGGGGACATTTGTGGTTGTCACAACTGGGGGGTGCTCCTGGCATGGAGTGGGTGGAGGTTGGGGACACTGCTCGGCACTGGCAGTGCCCAGGATGCCCCAACACAAAGAACGACTCAGCCCCAAATGTCAACACTACTAAGGGGGAGAAACCATGCTATACAGAAACCATAATCCCAATTGCAATTTTATCCTCACTTTACAGAGGAGGAGACGGGGGCTCAGAGAGGTAAGGTGACTTGTCCAAGGTCACACAGTGAGTTGGGGCTGGGTAGTTCTTTGTGCTAAAGCGCCTGAGTCTCCTGGGGTCTCATCTACTGTCTGGTGACATGCTATATGACTTTGAGCCACCTGCTTACCTCTTGGAATCTCTGTTTGTTCATCTGAAAAATGGGGATAAAAATGTTTTCTGGCTTTTAAGGTTGTGGGAAGATTAAAAGCAATAATATGTGAAAAATGCCTGACCCAACAACCTGAGGCTGCTGTTATCATCATTATTAAAGAGAAAAAAAATTGGCAACTTGGCTTGAAACCCTGCTGAACCACTCCATGGCTGTGTGACCCTGTGCAAGTGGCTTTGCCTCTCTGTGCCTAAATTTCTCTATCTCAAATGGGGATAATAAAAGCACCTATCTTAAGGGAACTTGAGAGGATTAAATGCATTAATCCACGTTAAATCCATAGCACGGGGCTTGACATGCAGTAAGCACTCAATAAATGTTACTATGGTTATAACTGGTAGTTGGAACAGCAGCCTATGTGTCTGACTTATCTGTGGCCGCAGCTGAGTCCCCTCCCTTCTCTGTGGCTCAGTCTCCCATCTGGAAAATGGGCTCATTTTCCAAGATTCTTTAAGCAGAGACCTTCTTAGATTCCCCCCAATCTGTATGGACTGGGGGTTCCCCCAAGTGAGCATGGGAGAGGAGGCACCCACCTTCTTGTCCTTTTCCTTGGCCTTGTCCAGGGCCTCCTGGGCGCGGCTCTGGGCCTGGCATGCCCTTTCTGCCTCGATGCGTAGCCCCCGTAGTTGCTGCTGTGCTGTGGCCAGCTGGGCCTCCGCCGCATGCCGCTCACTTTTCATGAACAGAGCCTCCCTCTGTACCTGCAGCCCAAGTCCCCATGGGATGCTCAGGACATGTAGGCCCCAAAGATGCTTGGATCCCAAGGTTCTCTGGCCCTTCTCCTTTGGCCTAAGGACATTCGACCTTGATCTGACCTTGAGGGGTTTGATTCATGGAAATTCTGGATTCTCCCTGACCCTATCAACATTCTCACCCTGCCATGCACCTCTGGCCTATAAGCTGTGTGGCCTTGGACAAGTGACTTCACCTCTCTGTGCTTTAGTTTTCTCATATGTAAAATGACGAAAATAATAGCCCCCACTTTATAGGGTGGTTGTGGGAATAAAATGAGCAGATATACAGAATATGCTTAAAACAGTCCCTGGCATACAGTAAGGGCTATATTCAAGTGGGTAATATTATTTTATCATTATTATTATTTGGCAGCTATTTTACATTATTTTTATTTTGGTGGCTGGTTGATACAGGGATACAAATATTATTATTTTTACTATTTATTGTGATCACTAATGTTCTTTTCTCTGCCAGCGGTGTGAAGGTTTGTAGGTTTCTTAACAAAACAAAAGAAAAAAAGTAGTATTGGATGAAAAGCAAACAAATGTCAAAAAGTCTATGACTGCGTTTTCACAAAAATACCAAGATCAGAGCAATGCTAGATTTGCAAAATTTGATCCTTGGGGGAACAGGGGGAGATTGACCTTGAAATAAGTGGATAATAACTAGATGTTCCAATTAGTACAGATTGGCTACGCATTAACAATAAAAATAACCAGACTTGTAAAATTTACCCTAAAAAGAAGTTATCGTGAGGAAGGTAAAATTTAGAAAATAAACATGAAGATGGGCTTAATTAGGTTGGACTGTGAACTCTAGCAAGTTGACTGAAGATTTATGGGGTTTAAAGCCATGTTTCCTTGGAATCATAATGATTCTGCTATTATTTATCATTTGTGCCAGTCAATGTCTTAAGTAGTTTTTGGAAATAAGCCCATTCAATTATTACATGAAGATTAGGAACTACTATCATCTCCACTGTACAGAGGAGTAAACAGAGACACAGAGAAGAAAAGCCTTTCCTGATCACAATGAATGAATGTGGCTTCTTATTCACATATTTGTTAAAATAGCTACCTATTTTCCTTTCTTTTCTTTTAAGAAGAGAGATCAAATCAAAAGGTCCACTCTCAGGGACACATACACACAAAAAATTCCCTGTTTTAAAACAAGACAAAACAAAACACTCAGCATTAGAATCCACTGGGTTAAAAATAATGAGGAGCTGGCGGGTTAGCTCAGTTGGTTAGAGAGTGGTGCTGATGACACCAAGGTCCTGGGTTTGATCTCTGTACCTGCCAGCCACAAAAAAAAAAAAAAAAAAAAGAAAAAACTGGGCCAGCCCCGTGGCTCACTCGGGAGAGTGCGGTGCTGACAACACCAAGGCCGCGGGTTCGGATCCCATATAGAGATGGCCGGTTTGCTCACTGGGTGAGCCCACCGTGCTGACAACACCAAGTCAAGGGTTAAGATCCCCTTACCGATCATCTTTTTTTAAAAAAAAAGATAAAACTGGGCCAGCCCCGTGGCTCACTCGGGAGAGTGCGGTGCTGACAACACCAAGTCAAGGGTTAAGATCCCCTTACCGATCATCTTTTTTTAAAAAAAAAGATAAAACTAATGAGATCAAAAATCCCTGTTCATAACATTTTCCTTCTAGAATGGCCAAATGGTAAAAAATGATTATTATAAGAGCATTTTTACAAGATCAAACAGCTACCTGGAAAAAGAAAACAAACAAACAAACAAAACACAAGGTCAAGATGACCACCAGAGGGCCGGCCCCGTGGCTCACTCGGGAGAGTGCGGTGCTGATAACACCAAGGCCACGGGTTCGGATCCCATATAGGGATGGCCGGTTTGCTAACTGGGTGAGCGTGGTGCTGACAACACCAAGCCAAGGTTGTTATCCCCTTATCGGTCATCTTTAAAAAAAAAAAAAAAAAAGATGACCACCAGAAAAAAAAAAAAGAATGCTAGGTAAAAATATTAGTGCAAAAACCCCAACTCACTGCTTACAAAATAAACTGCTGATCATTGACCCTTACCTGACCCATTACACATAAATTAGAGACGATTCCTAGACATAATTGTGAAATTGAAACAGAAAAGATACTAGAATAAATCATGCGAGAACACCTCATGTCCTTGAGACGGACAAAGGGTGTATAAACAGACCCCCCAAAGCAGTAGCCATTAAAAAACAAAAACCATGGGGTCCAAATGGCCAAACGGTGTTAAAAAAAGACAACACACATTGGAATATCAAGGAGGTCAGGATGGCTGCAGGGTCCAAAGTCCACCTGGAAACTGGCTGGGTCACACGTCTGTCTGTCCGACTGAAACCAGTGGGGTGGAAACATTCCCTGGCTGCAGGGTCCAAAACAGGCCACCGAGCGGCGGGTTGGCTCAGGGGGGGAGGGCACGCCAAGGTCAGGGGTTCGGATCCCGGCACCAACCAGCCACCAAAGAGAAACACAAGGAGCGGCGGGATGAGCCGGGTGGGGGCCCGACCTGCTCACCTGGAAGACCTCGGCGCTAGTCTTCTCGTGCCTTCGACCCAGCTCGTGCAGCTGCTCCTCCAGCCGCACCACGTCCGCCTGCAGCGCCCCCACCACGCGCTCGTGCTCGGAG